CCCCAAAACCCCAAAACCCCAAAACCCCAAAACCCCAAAACCCCTTTGCAATTATATAAAATTGAAAATTTCAATATGCCCAAAATAGAAGAAATTGAGAAACGTTTAGAAAAGAGATGTCAGAGTGTTGGTAAAGGGACTAGGCCAAGAAGGTTCTTACTAGGGCTTTCTCATAATGAACGAGACGGCCTTGGAAGGTTACTGATCAATGGAATAGTGAGTTTTGGCATTTCTACATACATCTTGAATTCTTAAAGCTGACCATCTATCTTATAGCCCAAGGAAAGGAAACTTGCTAAGCCTCCAAGGCCAAAGCTAGACAAAATTTCAAATAAATGTATTTTCCCTATATCTAATTTCCAGATTTTGTTCAAGGAGATTCTGTGAAATATAGCATTGACATGCAGAAGTATGTGAAACCATTTAACAGAATCAGCAAGTCAATTGTAACCTTCTACCATAATTTTAGGGAAGATATAAAACAGATTGAACCCCTTGAAGCAGAGACCTGAGTGAGGTTGGCTCAGTCTCAGATTTCTCAATAAAAGACATTAAATTCCGAGGATTTTCTTATAACAGAAGGACCCCAACCGCTAATCAGAGGGATGAAATGAGGCTTAGCAAATAAATTGTATATTTTTCACGATTTCTAGAGACTACAAAATCCCTTTAGTGAGCAAAGACGTTCGAGTGAAGCAGTATGGCTATCGAATCATTTATAGGTTTGAGACACTTGAGGACAAATATACTAAAAGCAGGTCTGTCGATTAATATTTAGGCCATTCATTGACCAAATTGTACAAGTTTAAAGCGCCAGCTTTAGACTTTGCCAAGATGAGTAATTATACTCCTAAGTAATGATAATGATGATCTGCCAACCCCCATTGCTTTGAACCCTAATAAGGTTTATTCTACATTTGACTTACCTCCAAAGGGAATTGATTTCTCAAAGGTCACGGGGAGGTACCCGAAAAGGTAGGTTCCAGGTAAACTTTTAGCATTAAGATACTCAAGAAGAAGCAACAGAAAGAAGAAGCTGAAAACCAATGTAAGGTTGACAAAGCTTCCTCTAACTGTTCTCAATAGTGACCGAAAACCAGGATGAAGTTGAAATTAAGAACCTGTTTAGCAGCTTTACGATGAATTCTTGGCATCCGAAGCCAGAGGAGGTAATGTCTAAGAAGATGGAGAGCAATTTGAGGAATTATCAAGAAGAACTTTCTAAAATTAAAATTCTTAATAAATAAGACACTTAAGCTGGGAAAGTCTATTAAGTACCACAAGAAGAAGATCAGAGAGATAGGGGTCGACGTGAAGAGAGTCAGGTAAGCAAGCACTTCCAGTCGAGGCCTGACTTGTGTTGGAATTCCAAGTTGGACATCTTAGAATCTTGAAGCTATGGTGTTTTTATTGTGGTGTTAATTTTTTTGAGGAAATTTATGAGTTTTAGACTTAGGCCGAATAGGAAAGTCAGTAAAGCATCTGTTATTGATAAAAGAAACAATAAAAGCAATAAGAATCAGAGTAGAATAAATCATATTCCTTCTGAAAATTGGAGTGAAGAAGCATATAGTATAGCCCATCTTCAGCTTCGAGCCATCTAATTTCTTAACAAACGACCAATAAGATTCTTGCTTAAAAGAGCTCAACTCTCATCGTTCCTTCATAAATCTTCAAAGCCAAAGGGCTAAATTACTCAGTTCAGCTTTATATCAGAAAAGAAGGATTCCTGAGGCTTTGGGCTGAGGCGAGCAAGGGTAAAGACACTCTTGGGTTCATAGTTTAGTGCTTCATGTATAGAGGGAATGGGTCAGTGACTATCAACATCTATTTGTACAGTACAGTTCCTTTTATGTGATGAGAGATGGAATAGTAAATATTCCTGTGACATTTATGTTCCTATTTAACATTCAGGTTCGGTATTAACCAACGGGGTTTTGGGGTTTTGGGGTTTTGGGGTTTTGGGG